GACTTACGGCTTGACGACTGGGTGGTGGTCGATGCAGTTGTGTTTCAGCGGCTGTCCCTCCGTCGGGTCCACCTGCACGTGCAGCTGAGGGTGCTTCTGCAGGCACTGCTGGAGGCTGGGGTTCTGCTGGGGCTTCCCCCTCTTGGTCTTCACGGACTTGAGGATCTTCTTGCCCTTCACCGTCAGGAGGTCGATGTCGACGGTGACGGGCACGTAGCGCCGAGTGGACCAGATGGAGTCCATCTCGAGGAGGAGGATCTGCTGTGGGTTTTCTCTGGCTTGGAGGGCGAGGGAACTTTCCTTCGAGGTCCGGAGGAAAGGCGCTAGGTCCTGCTAAGGTCACGAGGCCATATTGTTCCTGCTGACGTCACGCCTTTGTGTGCAATCTTTCCTTCTTAAATCACACTGATAACGAAGGGCTTTTATCAGTCCGTATTACAAGTTCAAGTTCAGGACAGATTAGACCGAGAAATTGGAGGGCGAAGTTTGAAAAGAGGATCTCGGCGACGTGTCCCTCGATCCCTTCGGTGTCTTTTGTAGGTCAACGCCTCCTTGCTGACCTCTGAGACCTCCTGATGACGCAGAAGGTCGGGTCACATGGCAGTGTTATCCTCTGCGAAATAGAGGGTTCCTTCCGGCGCGAGGCTTCCTCAGCTTCCAAACGAGCTATTTGAATCTTTCTATTCGGTTTTGGTAAAGTTACTTTTCAACTTTACATGACAAAGCAAGCTGTCACTAGATATTCAGCTTGCAACACAATTCACATTTGTAATACTGTCAACTGAAACAAGAACAATACATTGAGCAAATGCCTACTGAACATGCTAAAGCTGATTAAAAACACTTTAAACCACGCAATTTTTAAGCCGGTTTGGCCTAATACAAACCCAGAGAAGGGACTCCGATCATTTCTAACAAATCTGCATATCACAAATTCCACGGAAAGAATCCCCGGTCTGAAATACACATTTCTCAGTATCAAAGGCTTCAGTGTATTTATCCGCCACCATTTGCAAGAGCTCTTCAAGGGGGGAGGGAGGGGGGAAGGGACAGGCAACATCGAAAAACAGAAAAATACGCGAGAGGGAAGTGAGCTCGCACGGGTAAATAGTCGGGTTCGAGGATTCGGTCTTCCACGAACGGCTACGGTAAATATTTACGGTTTTCTCCCCTCTTAGACGTTTTTCTTGGGTTAATGTCTGTATTATGGGGTGTGATTGAAGCCCACCTTTTTTTCTACATCAACGCCTCGACTCTGGACAACACAGGTGAGCGGGTGGCGAGAGACAAAGCTAAAACAGGGAAGGATAGGATTATATACGAGGATCTCAAGGGGAATATGAAACTATTTGCGCCAAAGAAAGGCAAATAAGGTGGGGAAATGTACTAGACGAAGGACATAAATCGGACGGATGAAACAGTACAGCCGGAGAAACAGCCGTGTGAAGACGCACTCCAAACCAGCAGCTGCCTCTCCAGACACGATCCCACTGCCTTCCCCACGAACTCGGATCCTGGAGGACGAGGTCTCTGGCGTGGACTCTGTAACACAACACCGGGCGCCTGTAACACGTAACGCCACACAAACCCACTCGAATCGAGGTTATTGACGTCTTTCAGGAGGTTCCGAGGCCCAGACGGTGCGAGAGCGACTGTGGAAGATCTCGGTCGTCGTCTCCCTTCCTCTGGACTCTTTATATCCGAGCAACTTCCATTCAAGCGGCGAATAAAAACGGTTCATGATGTTCCAGTTACACTCCAGAGCTTCGAACACCCGCGAGAACCCCCTCGTCCAACACACGTACCGGTACTTCAACACTTCGGTGAGAAAAAAAGATACACACACACAGGGAACTCTTACAGCATCGAACTCACACAAAAAAGGATTGACGTATGTAATTTTCTTCTCTCTCTTTTCTGCTGCTCTATCACTCTTATTTCGCGAACTGATCTTTTTCTTCTACGGCCTCAGTGCGAGCCACACTCATGAGCCGTTGTCAAGGCACATGGAATCTCCTCTGAGTCTCCACACTCACTGAAACTGTCTCCCGCACCAACCCGGCCAGACCAGCAGACCCTCCCTGCTTCCCGGCCACCACGTGGACATGACTCCGCCCCCAAGGCTAAGCCCCGCCCCTCGCCCGTTCCCCCGTACCATCATCCCCTCCTTATTTTAGTTTCATTCTCCTGTTCAACAGTTTCTTTTTTGTGTGCTGCTGTTGTTTCTTATGTTTGTTACTATTTATTTTTAGATTAAAAAAAAAGATGTTTTGAGTTTTTAAAAATATTTTTCTTCTTTAGCTCTCACCTGTTCTATGCTTACTGGGGGGAGGGGCTGTAGGCGTGTCTGCCAGTCTGCACAGGCGTGGGTTATCGTAATGATAACCTGCCCTATTTCTTTCGTCCCTCTTTTCTCTTTCTCTCTTTCTTTCTTTTCTCCCATTAATCTCGTGCTGGCTGGGGCCTGGTGCGTACGCGTCCTCGCCTCGGTGGCTTTGTG